CCCAAGTCCCGTGGTATGGATCTCCCTGTGTGCCCGGAGGAAAGCATACATCTGCGTCCTGGTCAGAATGCTATCGTACGAATTCGGTATGGCCAGTCCAATCCCCAACGTGAGTTGGTGTGGGCTGGTAGAGGAAAGAACTGGATGACCAAGGTCCTGTACTCTGCTAGGTCTTGAGCGACTGCCGTCAAGGTTGTTAATGTTTCCGACCAGAATGTTTGGATCGACACTAGGACTGCGGTTGCGCGTATTATGGAGTACGGACAGTTCCCAGGACAACCTGGATTCGTTCGTCCTGGTAAAGTGCGGTATGAAGAATGGCAACAACGGATCCATGAGTGTACCGTGTCACGCCAAGCAAGGATGCGTGCTGAACGGTTGGAGCAGATTCTCAGGGAAAGGGAGCCTCCGTGCACCCAGACTCAGGTTGCCTACTAAGCTATTAATGTGTCCACAGTCCCAAGCCGCTGAAGTGAAGATGGTGAAGATGCAAGAAAAGCCGAAACCAGTGGATATAACGCTCAAGATCATCGGGAATTCAGCGGTCGTCATGAACACGGTTGCGAGAGATCCCGAGAAACCTGAGACACGTCCTGAGTCGGTAGAACAGACCCATCCTGACTTGAGTCCAGAAGTTGAGACCCTGGACCCAGAGAGTATGGGGGATGTCGAGAATGGCGCTCAGGTCCCTGAACCGCCAGTAGATGTCCAATCACAGACGAGCTGTTCGACACCGGTCCAAAGGCTGGAGGCAGAATATGCTCGGGTGATGCGAGTCTCTGCCGAAGAACTGGACTTAGAGCCTGCCGTATATCTCAGGGAAGGAAGTGATTTGATGGCGCAGTTACGAGACCAACTCATCATGCTCCCGGAAATTGAGGAATTGACCCCGGAATGTAACATTGGCGAAGCTAATGTCGGAGTTCCGGGAGTCACAACTCCAGAGATGGAAGCCAAGATGAGAGGGATCCTGAGATACCATCGCTGCATCTTCCTGGGAGATGGCAACGCAGCTCCAGCCCCGGCTAGAGGCGTAGTGTGCGACATCGACGTCGGTGAAGCAAAACCAGTGGCTTTACGCGCGAGGCAGATTGCCGCACCATTCTTGGTGAAGGTGTATGAACTCCTGAAGAAGTTGTTAGAGGCAGAGCTCATTGAGCATTCAGAGTCCGAGTGGTCATCTCCTATTGTGATTGTGCTGAAGAAAAATGGCATAGACATCCGCATGCGTATTGATTACCGGCTTCTGAATTTGCTCATTAAGCTATCCCGTTATCCTCTACCTCTGATTGATGACCTGCTGGTAGACTTCAAATCCGCGGTGTGGTTTATGAGTCTCGATATGGCGAGTGGATTCTGATCGGTGCGAATGACTGGACGAGCAAAGTTAATCTCTGCGTTCGTCTGCCCGTTCGGCCATTTTCAATGGCTCAGAATGCCTTTTGGATTGAAGAATGCACCGTTAATTTATCATAGCATCATCAATAACGGCCTGTGGGGATTCGTCCGCCTGCCTCCGCTACCTCCTGAAGAGGAAGCGATGGTTGACTCAGAAGTGTTGGAGTTCCTGAATCTCGAGCTTCAAGAGGCTCTGAAACCTGAAGTACATATGCAGGACTCAGGGATTCCTTCATTAGACATGACTGTATTCCGACGCAATATTCCGGCTCCGTCACAAATGGGTCCGGTCTGGGGAAGAAGTTCGTATATTGACGATATCGCTCATGGGGCTTCGACCTGGGACCAACTATGTGAGGACCTGGATGCGTTGTTATACAGACTACGATACTGGAATATCTCTGTGAGTTTACCGAAAAGTGAATTCGGAAAGTATTCCATTCCTTTCTCATGAAGTGAGTGCTGACGGAATTAGGGCCTTGCCGAAGATTGTCAAATGCATAGAGGACTTACCTTTCCCGTCAACGTACAAGGGAGTGCAGTCTTGTTTAGGAAATATGAATTATTACAACAAGTTTATTGAAGACTTACCAGTAGTTACCGCTGTGCTCTACGAACTAGACGAAGAACGTGTACGTGCTGGACGGAACCTGGAAGCCGCAAAGGAGTCTTTCGAGATACTGAAACGGAAGATCGTGTCGACCCCGCTGTTGCGACATCCAGACAGAACCAAGCCTTTTGTGATAATCCCGCATGCTAACCCGTGGGCGGCGTGTGCGGTTTTGAGTCAGGAGCACGAAGGACTCATACATCCAGTGCGATTTACTGGCAGAGTGTTGAAGGAATCAGAGCTACGTTACCACATAGCTGAGAAGGAAGTGCTCGCAATCTTGCGGACTCTGGAGGTTTTCAGACCTCTGATTCATGGATCAGAATTCCCAGTTGTGGTATCTACGCGCTACTCTGTACTAAAGTGGTTAATACAATCCAACACTGCAGATGGACGACATCTGAAGGGGAGGGGGCTGGAACTATCAAGATGGACACTGGAAATCCATCGGACTCAGAAAGATGAGGACGGTCTTGCGGCGATCGTTGGGTCTGGTATTACCCCCAGGGAACATTTAGATGAAGTTGCAGAAACCCTGATTCCCGCCAAGGGGCCTCTGAAAGTGATGCCGCCAGTAAGCCTGGAAATGTTGGAAGCAGACTACCAAGGCTACGTTCTTAGTTTTGATGGCGCTGCGATGGTTTCTACTCGTCGAGGAAGTTGTGGATGCATACTGTGGAAGTTGCCAGGGTGGCAGGTTGTGAAAGCCGAAAGACACATCCTTGAAGGTGTGACGGTCAACGATGTTGAATACCATGGCTTGATTCTGGGACTAGAGTTCACTATGAAGTACGATGTCAAGGAGCTTGTGGCAGTCGGTGATTCCCGAATCGTCGTCCAACTGATTCATGGTCTGATCAATTGCAACCAGCCCAACCTGCAACGACGCTTAGCTGAGTATGAGGATCTCAGGAAGAATTTTGTGTCGGTTAAATTGATTCATGTTAAACGTGAATTTAACCAAGCAGCCGACTACCTGACCTCTAAGACCCTCGTGCGTGGAGAATCCTGGGAGCTCGATGACCCTTGATGAGATAGTGCATCTACGTCTCGTATCCAGAATCCCTGAAAAGGTCACGAAGCCTTCAGAAATTCCAGATATCCCTGTGACCGATGCAGCTCGCTCGGACCAAGTCAAACTCGGAGTGGATAGCCCTGATGCCGGAATACCAGAGTCTCTAGCTACCGCGGCTGAGGCATTGATGGTGATGACGAGGTCACGAACGGAAACGGGCGTAGGGTCTCGGACTCCAGTAGAGGCCGGTATCCTAGCGTCGCACGTTGCTTACTCTTCAGGAGGTCTCTGAATCTAGCGAAGACCTTGCTCATGAAACGGGGATCCTGATCATGCCTGATCATTGAACTCGCCCCAAATCTTCTGAATACGCACTCTTCGTTTGCCTCAGCAACATCTTGGGCTTTGGTATTCCGCATGGGTTTACACGTGACATATCCTGAAAATTGATCTTGGAACAACAACAACAAGTAAGTATTTCCACGATCGGACTCAGGTAGCTCAGTGACAAAATCCATGGAGACCACCTCGAACGGATATCTCGGTTTGATATTGCCAGGTGACGGACCGAGAACCGGTGGTCGCCTCTTGGCTGATGCACAATCAACACACTCTCTCACAAACTTCTGTACATCGGCGTACATCCCGATCCAGTAGAACTCTGAACGTAGTCGCTCAAACGTCCTGTTGATTCCTTAGTGATCACCCTGAAATTCTTTGTGGGAGTAGTGTAGCATATCATCACGTAAAGTCTCTGGGTTAATACCAGCCAGAGTTCCGACTGTTTGTTGCGAGGTCTCTCAGGAGTGGGTGTGCTCAGCCTGTAGAGAACTTCTCTCGAATCCAACACAAACTGATCAGAGACCTTCGCAATCTTCTTTACCTGGTTCCGTGGAAGGTCTGACACGTCTCCTCTTAGGACCTTCTTCATTTGCTGGATCCACAAGCCTTCCGTCTTGGTGAACCTTGATTCTCCTCCAACGTTCATCCTGGTATCCAGACTGGGCTCTCTAGATGCTTAATAATAGACTAAAGCTCAAACAACGCTTTGAACAGGAGTACAGCTATCTCAGAAATGCTTGCTTCATCATTCAATATGCTTTTGTTTTGAGTGGTCTCATTTAAACGTTGTTTCGAAAAATTCAAGAGGACGCAACTACAACATGAACATTGTTACGCAGTCAAAGTTTTGATCTGACCGGAAATATGTAGAGCTGCTCTAGTTTTCAAACGCGATAGTCTCATCAGCCGCGCGTCAATGTTGCAACCCAGGGTTCTCGATGAACCGATATAGCTGCGTCA